GACCATCGATTTCGATGAAGTCCACCAAGTGCACCGACAGGTTGGTACAGAATGTGACAGTCTTAGGTGTTAGCCTTAAAATGATAGAGGACGTAGTTAACGGCTCCGCACTCTTCACCTTCCCCCGGAATCTCGAAGACTAAACAGGTTCCAGCGTAGGCTGCTTACTCCAATACAAGCCGAAACACCGCCTAACTTATTCTTAAGTAACAGTAGCCTTTTGCACTGGTACTACTGTACTATCTACCATAAGCTCCCCTTTAGTAGGTGTCTAGCCAGACTTTAGTAAACCAGGACTGATACTGCTACTTCTAATGCTACTAACTAGGGTGTAGCTGGAAATATTACTGACTGTTTTGTAAGTCAGAAGTGACGCTGATTAAAGTCAGCATTGGGCTTATATCCCCTTAATCTCGGCAAGAAGTCTAGTAGTACTGGTGCTAGCGTTGACGCCACCATTTGTCAGAGGTGACGCTGATTAAGCCAACGCTAGGGCTCATATCCTCTTGGTCTCAACAAGAAGTGTGACTCTGGATTAAACTAGTTGGGGTAAGTACATACTTGGGGTCCTGAGCACAGCAGCGTTTGCCTTGGTTTCCGCACTCTCAACTCGATCCATCGAGCAGAAACGTACACAGCTCCGTCACAGTAGTATTCGCGTCACCCTACCCCTCACCCCGCACTCTCACCCCTGTTCTATGTGAACTCTGCCCTCAAACCCTCTAGTGCGACAATCCCAGCCCTCACCTTCATTCCGTCTGACGAAGAGCTAGTGTCCCCAGCTCAAAAATTCATGAGTAAAACTCAATTTTCCGACGAGCCTTCTTTCTAAATTTATAATCTCGGAATGCATACTACTTCAGTTATTCAGTATTATAAATGCATACATTACAAAGGAAATTATTCCTGCTCGACGGGCAAAACTATTTCATGATATTCCGTAGTTGCCTCCGATTGGAATGCACTCTAGTTAGGAAAATTACGTATCGTGCTTCCCTGGCAAAGCTGGGCCTGGTCTGGTCAATCACTATGTCTC